TAAAATTGTTAAAAATATTGCAAGAATAACTAATAATAATGAATCGCTATATGTTCCTAAGTTTTCGAATGAATATATGATGGTAGTCATAAATTGACTATATACGAAATGTTTTACTATCAAAGTAATTTGTAAGGGATTATAAATGTTAAATCGAATATTACATGCACGAAGTTTGCTAAGGTAAAATTTCGATGTTTAAATACTTTTCGAATAATACGAATCAATACAATATTAATTTCTAAATTGTTAGACTATATTATACTATCTCGTAGTTTATTTTCCTTGTTTCAAAAGTATAATAATTAAGTATGATAAATTTGCTATCTTTGATTGTCTCTAGTTATTTTTCTTGGTACTCGCGTCGCGTTGCTTGGTGGTAATCTTTAATGATTTTCTATTTGTTTCACGCTTGGCGATCTATTTGTTTTATCTCGGATTATTTCTTGGTACAATATATCTTTATTTGTAAATTGATTTTCCGGGAATTTTGTTTGTGTTTCCCTGTACACCGGAAGCGATTGTTAAGCCGCCCATCCATATTCCAAACTCTATTTGTGGCACAAACCTTGAGCCTGTCCCTCACAAACATTACCGTTACATCAAACTGCAAATAACAGAGAATTTTGAAAGTGTTACATGTGTTGATCATGTGGCGTACACTATTATTGCATAAAATGCCTTTCTGCTCTTCAAATTAGCTATTATTCATTATTGGAATAAAGCGTACATCTATGATTAAAAGAACTATTGTCATTTTTTGCAATTGTATATTAATAATTACGTGCTTTATTTTAGAATATGGGTTGATAAAAGAAATATTATTAACAATAAATGGGTATATGTACCTTGTTTTAGGATCAGTATATATGTTCATGGGTAAATATGAAGAATCACTTGAGAATTTAAACAAATCATTAGAAATTGATCGAAACAATAAAATAGCTTTGGCAATAGCATTAAACAATCGAGGGCTAATTTATCAAAACATGGGCAGATATGAAGAATCACTCGTTGAATTAAATAAATCATTAGAAATTTATCCAAATTTCTTAACATTAAATAATCGAGGATTAACTTATCAAAGCATGGGCAAATATGAAGAATCGCTTGTGGATTTAAATAAATCATTAAAAATCAACCCAATTTCCGCGGATGCATTAAATAATCGTGGATATTGTAATATAATAATGGGTAAATATGAAGAATCACTTGTAGATTTAAATAAATCATTAGAAATCAATCCAAATTATGCAAAAGCATTAAGTAATCGAGCACTATCTTATTACAGAATAGGAAGACATGAAGAATCACTTTTAGATTTAAACAAATCATTAGAAATCAATCCAAGCCTTGAACTTACATTAGTTAATCGTGGATTAATTTATCAAGAGATGGGTAGATATGAAGAATCACACGTAGATTTAAACGAATCACTAATTAAATCTCACCGTACTGGTGTGCAAAATATTAGCGAGGCAACATCTCTAAGGTTTGGAGCATGTACTAATTGTAAACAGTATAATTCTGGAATCGGCTTTTGTCATTTATGCGATTCTCAAATAAATCGAGAATGGACCAGCGGAGATAAAAAAATAGATGAATTTATAAAAAAAGCGCAAATGAATACACCATATTATCATAAAGTTATTGAATGGATACCTTTTGATAGACTAGAAGATATTCAAAAAGTTGGTAAAGGTGGATTTAGCACAATTTATTCTGCTACTTGGGTTGATGGCAAACGAGTTTATGGACGGGATACGAATGGAAAGTTTATACAGTACAGACACGTGAGCAATCTTGCAAAGTTGCGCTTAAAAGTTTAACAGGAACACAGAATGTTTCATTGAGTTTTTTAAATGAGGTAAGAAATTACATAGTTTGTCTTTAATATAGTAAAAATAAAATGAATAACAGGCTTTATTTTGTCTTAGAGTTTAAAGCCTATTATGAATGCCAGCTTGAAAAACTGAGCGTAGAAAAATATGGGATAGAAACATACGGAATAACTTATAATACAAATAACAAAGAATACATGATGGTTTTTGAATATGCGGATAAAGGGGATCTTCGACATTATTTGTCAGAAAATTTTAAAAGTCTTACCTGGAAACAAAAATTAAAACTCCTTTATTCTATATCTGATAATCTGGATTATATTCATCAAAGATATGTTCACAAAGATTTTCACAGTGGCAATATACTTATAGTTAGTACTGGGAATTTTGATTTAAATGCTTTATTATATCATATTTATACTGTGAATAATAGGGCTATAATGATTACGCAAGATAGTGGGATAAAGTCGAATATTGAACCAAAGATTTCGGATTTAGGGCTTTCTGGTAAAATAACCGAAATTATTGTAGAGAATGGAACATATGGAGTAGTACAATATGTTGCTGATGAAATATTATTAGGCCAACCATATACAAAAGCTTCAGATATTTATAGTTTGGGTGTAATTATGTCTGAAGTATCGACTGGAAAACCACCCTTCGAAAATTTATCGTGTAGGACAGTACAAATACAAAAAGTTTGTAACAGATTGAGACCAGAATTTGCAAAAGGAACACCTGAATGTTATGTTAAACTTGCAAACCAATGTATGGATAGTGATCCAACAAACCGGCCAACGGCTAAAGAAGTTTATGAGAAATTAAGAGAATGGAAAACAGTTCTTGATAAAGGAACTAAAGAATTGAATGATGAACAGCTTAAAATTAAAGATTCTTTTTTGAAAGCAGATGAAATTATTTTTCACTGTCAAACTTCGCAACGGTATTCAGATGCAAAGAATACATCTCAATTTGAATCAGATGAAACTACTTTTTCACAATTTGGGATCCCGCAACGTGATCAGGATGCTATTTATACATCTCAAATTATTTTAATAGGTAATGTGCAAGTTTTATTTTATATTTTTCCGTAATAGTATTATTGAAAAAAAATTTATTATTCCAATAGAATCTAAACTTTTGGACCGTGAAGTTCCATCTTAAAATTTATATCCCATCTAAAATTGATATCTGTGTAAGTTAGAGGTCGGAATCGATTTGTTCAGTTCAACTTTAATTCGGTTTTAATAGTGAACCGTTTTAATAGCAACCGGCTTTAAATAGGTTTTACAGTAAACAATGTTTTTAATTCGGTTGTAAATAAGCCGGAACCATCAATCATTCAACCATTTTTATAAATAATTTATACGTAGTTATTGCACGGAGTCTGACGTAACAACCCGTGCCAATAAGTAAGTGAAAAAGCACGGGCTATCACATAAGACTCGTGCAATAAGTTTTAATTATATGATTAACTGAATTCCCCTTTCTATAAATGATTATTAACCGTCAAATTATTCGTTTAATCGTTTCTTTAATTAATTAAAAAAATAAATAATACAGTCGTCCTCCCTAGTGATGTGCCATTTATATGATCAAATTTTTTAGCGTACAGTACGTACTGTACGTTGTGAAGGGCCCCTGTAAACTTTTATTTTATTATTAGTATTTTATATTAGTATTATTTCATATAATTACTCTATATATTATATTTTACTCAATTTAAGTAATGGTTAACAGCGGACTTGTACGAAGAGTTCGCTTTAGCCGATTTCGTAGATTTCGTAATATTATCGTATTTCGCTACTTTATTCACGATAGTAGCTTTCGCGAATATAGTCAATTTATCCACTTATTCGATTATATTTGTTTGTTCACTTTATAGCCTTTCATGCATAAATTCCAGCCTGTATTTCAATAGTCCTGTAAAAAGTATAAAAGCAAAGACCTTTCGCTTGGAAATAAAGGGAGAGCTCAGTTGAGTAATATTTCAAAATCATAACAGTAGAAGTACTCCAGTAGTTTTTCACTTATCTTATTCTGTTGTTCCTAATAAATCGGCCAATCAACCTTGTTGCTAGCCCAATATTATAAAAATAAACTGTTACTTCATTGTAAAACCCAAGTCAAGTTCAACCTTCGAAATCAAGTAAAAGTGTTGACTCTAAGTTTACTACTGATAAAAAAAAACCTTGTTCTCATAGTTTTTATTCTTGACCTTCATAAAGAGCAAGAGAGAGAAAGTACCAATTACTAATCAAAAACCCTATTTATAATCAATAACAATTAATTAAACTCGATCCATGTCATTTACCTCAAATCAGATCTAAATATAAATTGATACTGTGATACTAAATCAATAACCACATGATTCGTGTTACAATTATTAAAAAACTTAATGATTGTGTTAAAAACTAGGACTTGTTAAATCTAAACCTAAGAAACAAAGCCATCTTTAGCTTCCAATTGAAGCATGAATTTAACTGATAAAAGCATATGCCAAGGTTATACTTATTTTAGCCTCTAGAGAAGCTACAGCAAGATTTTAAAAGAATCTTGAGATTTAGACCAAGTCTATCTATACTTTTTTCAGCCTGCTAGTTCAAGGTTTTAGGAGTCTTGGTTAGATTATATTTTGGTGTGCTAAGAATGATTAGTTAGCTAGTTTAATATTTAAAACACTTAGTCACACCATTTTTTTTTTTTTTTTTTAAATTCCCCATGATGCGTGATCCACATCTGGGACGCAGGTGGCGCACTTTATTATTTCAAAGTCTTATACATTATATTACAAGAAATCGTTGGTTACACATTTAATTGCTATGTGCATCACCTGTGGGGCTACCCCATCAGGTGTTCCCTAGCCCTTCCATGCCACGTGTTGATAAGTCTACCACTTTTGTGATATCCCGGGTCCCTAATCCCGCGGTGTAGGACCCTGCCTTGAGTAGTCCACAGTTCCTTATCGCCACGGCTCTAATTTCCTGTATTTTCCTATATTCGGCAATTGTACACTTTTCCCCAATTTCATACTCAGACTCTGTGTATCTTTCATTCATCACCTGCCTATCAACATACCCATTAGGCTCTGTGTTTCCAGTTTCGTCCCTTCTGGACTTTACTTCCTTATACCTTCTGTATTCACCGGTACTTCTTTATGTGAACATTCCACTTGAGATTACTAAGGATCTGCCTGGAAGACAAATGCCCCCTGAAGAGAACTCAGGTTCTTTTCTTTCATTAGGTTCATAGTACAAGCCTTTTGCTCTTATTTGGGGCCTCCCTTAATGGGGAACACCATGATCCTGATTCAAGGTTCCTCATATTAACAACTTTCTTTTGTCAGATTCCTTTTCTTTTCTGGATGTTACATGGCTCCATGGCTATGTCCTGTGACTTATTATCAAATGTGGTCCTAGCAGAGGTAGATTCCCACATAGGTTTCAAACTCACAACCTTGTGCTTGCAACCTGGGAGTGCTAACCACTATGCTACAGACCCACAGGTCAACTTATTTACTATATATTCACTAGGTAATATATATATTTAAACTAAAAATATGTTAAACTACATATATTGCCTAGTAAATATAGTAAATAAGTTATAATTTGTACTATATATAATTGGTTATTACTTAGTTAAAATATGTTTTTCTAACCAATGAATTAAATAATACAAGTCATGAACCTGATAAGTCTTCTATTCAAAGCAATTTCAAGAATATACACCTAGATGACAAAATTGTGTGTGAAAATAATATCTGCATTTTATTTAAAAAGGTTGATATTATATTTTACCTTATATACTATAGAAGTTTAACAATTATTTTCTGAAATTTATCAATTAAATATCTTTTTACTTGATAAAAGTTTCTGAACAATAAATCATAAATTGGAATAGCTTTAGTTCATTTGATTATCCAGCTTATGGTTAACTAGTGTTCAGAAGCATTATATCTTATTTTTCTATTCTCTTTTGTAGATATTTAAATTAATATCCACAGTATGTATAATTAGGCCATACAAATTTAATTACTTGGTTTTCATAACATGAAATTTTAAAAATAGACCCAGCTGGCTGGCTTTTTT